TATAATTTCATTTAAAATAAAACAAATTTGATCGAGAGGGTCAAGGATTTTGTCTAATAAATAATCAATCAAAAAGTTTCGAAGCCCTATAACAATAAAAACTGTCTATATTAATATCCAGATTTAAATTACTATCCCTGTTAATTTTAACATCAATCTTTGTATCTTTAGACCTGGATATTAATTTACTGTATACAACATACCTGCTTTATGATTAATAAACAGGATAATAATAATAATATATCATATGTAATATTTTTAAACTATAAACGTAATAAAGCACTATTAGTTATTTAGTGGTCTATAAATATATATATGTATATTATTTGTCAGGTTTTTTTTCTTCAGTATTATTTTTTCAAAATGTCAGAAAAATATTCCAATAATTCTACTTCAATCAAGTCTTCAAACAAAAAAAAAAGCTTTAGACAGAGGTAAAAAATGCTTCAAGATTAGTTGGATCTGGCAGCACTTCAAGGAAACCAAAATTAGAGATGTAGATAGAGAAGAGATCCCAATAATTGTTTTCCAAGAGAAAAATGATGATAATACTAATTGTGATACATCATACGTCTATACTAGCAGATTAACAGAAAATGCAATCGTGCATCTCTGAAATGCGCATGAAATAACCAAACAAGGAAAACTAAAGTTCGTAATTAAGTCTATTACTAGATTAGTTAATATTTAATATTTTTACGTAATATTACTAATTATATAGTTAATTTATTAATATTAATAGAATAATAAGCAAGGTGTATCAAATATTAAAAAATATTCTGAGGCCCGGAAAAATCAATTAAGACAGTTACTTACAATATGGGTTATAAAAGATTTACAGACAATTTATGTTGTAAGCAATGAGGCATTCTGCAAGTTCATTAATGATTTAAATCCCACTTTTATTATACCTTGTGAGAAAATGGTTAAAAAATTAATTTATACTGCCTATGAATATAATTTGCCAATCCTCAAAGAAAAATTAATTAATGAAGCAATCCTAGTATCATTATGTATAGATTTATGGACGGCTCATAGCCATCAAGGTTATCTCAGTATTACTTGTTCTTTTATTAATAATGATTATAAACAGTGTGAGTTCGTTCTTACAATAAAATATATCTGATATCCCCATATAGCCGATCATATAAGTAAAATATTAGAAAATATCATGGATGAATAGAAAATTCAGGATAAGATGTTTATTATTACTACAGATAATGGCCATAATGTGAAAAATGCAATATCAAATATGGAAAAAGTTAATTGGCTAAATTGTATATCACATATATTACAACTTGTAACCTCAAGAGGACTAATTCTAGCAAAGATATTGGTTAAGAGAATTAAATGATTAATTAATTTTTTTATGCGATCTAAGCAAAGTGAAAGACTTGAAGAAGTTCAAAGAAAATTTTCTGACATTCAAAATGAAAATGAAAGTGAAAATAAAATTGAAAATGAAAATAATAATAATAATTTCAAGATAAACATAATATATATATATTTATTTATAAGTGCCATCAAAGAAAAACCTATCATCAGCCTCTAATTATATTTGTACAAGACAAGCAGAGACAGAGAATAAGTGTGATTTTATTTATAGGATTTGAAAATTCTATAAACAAAATTATACTTTTTCTGTGTCTCTGATATCCAGTACAAATATAATTGAAAACCTAATACAGTATACCTTCCCAAAAATGATCCAGTCAAAGCTGATAACCTGTTATAACCGATAAAAAATTGATCCACCATGTTTGTTCCATAATTCAAACCCGATAACCTGCTATTTCTGACAACTGATACTCAAAAGATCAGATACCTATAAAATATCAGGTTTGTCAAATATTATAGATCAATTTGATTGGCTCAGATCGTGCTTTGTATGCCCAAGTAGATATATAATAAATATAATCTAGCCAATTATATTTATTTATAATCATGTGACCAGTGAGCTATTAGAACCTAAAATCTGATAACCTCTCAAAACTGATACAAAAACTGTCTATCATGCCTATCAGATATGAGAGGGTATACTGTAACAGGTTTTTTCTTGATGGTACTCAAAATAATATAATAATTTTTTAATAAATAAGTTATATTCTAATTTATTAGGGTGTTTCAAAAATTTCTGAATACTTGCATACAATAGCCGATTGCCCAACACGTTGGAATTCTTCTTATCTCGCCTGAAATCGACTCCTTAAATTAAAAAATCATATTAATCTTCTCATTAACCTACTTGCAGCCCAATCTGATTTCAATACCAAGAAAGATCTTAAATATTTAAAAAAAATATTGCTTCTTGATGATGAGTGGGATACAATAAATGATTTAGTAGAGATTCTCCAACTATTCGCCGAAGCTACTAATTACTTAGGTGGAAGTAATTATTGCACCTATTCGATAATGGTTCCTATTTTAATTGAGCTAAAAAAAATTGTCAGTTATCAGTGTCTAATAATGATAATATAGCAGACATTAATGACGATGACGATGATGATAACTTTTAAGACTTATTCGACAATGATACAAGTGACGAAGAAGAAAAGAATGAACAGGATTATACGCCAATTAGTATAAATATTGATGAGATCAAAAATAATTTGCATAATGCAATAAATATCACCAAGTTCACTTTTACCTAGTCTTCTAGATCCCAGGTATAAAAATCTATGTTTTGTCTCATTTGCTGAACGATTTGCTACTGAAAATTTACTTCATAAGAAGTATGATAAAATGAAAAATAATATAGATAAAGAGAAAAAAAATATTAGAACAGAGGTTAAATCAACTCCTGCAAAAAAAAAAACTAAAAGTAACATTCTTTCTAGTTTTAAAAAACATACACCAATTACAGTTGAGGAGATTTTTGAATATTTAAAGCTTGAAGAAATTGATATTGAGTGTGATCCTTTTGTGTGGTGGTATGAGCGACATAAAAAATTTTCAGTTTTGAGTAGACTAGCAAAACAGTACTTAGCTGTTTTTGCATCTTTAATAGCTAGTGAAAGGCTTTTTTTGGATGCTGGAAATTTAATAACTGCAAAGAGAACTCATATAAGTTCTATGTTATTTAAAAGATTAATATTTTTAAAAAAAAATGAAAAATTCTTGGATAGTATTTATTCATCTTAAGAATAGATTAGTTTATCTGTTGTATGTACAGTAGCCATCAAAAGTAATGCCTGATTTTTGCTCAAAATAAAAATTTTTTATTAATATTATTTTGGCTGCATATATATCAAAATTTTTTTTTATTAATTTAATAAATTATTGAATGCATGTGTGCATTCAATATTATTCAATTCTTCGTGATATTGGGCCCAAAACCACCCAAAGAATGAATCTATTAAGGTTTTAGTATTCTTTTTTTAAACTAGCTTTAAGATTGTTTATGCTTTTCAAAAGGTTTTTAAACTTTTGGATATTATTCTTTAATGCTTTCTAATTGTTTTTAATATGTTTAGGTTGGGGGTCTTCCTTTATTTACATCATAATTTAATTTTTTTTGATTTTGAATAATTTTGTAGCTTTTCTAATAATATAAAAATAACAATTATTGTATTAAAACATTAAATATACTTTGATTAATTAACAAATAAAACACAAAACATGAAAAGGTAGTTTTTAAGAACCTTAA